GTGGCATTGCCTGTGTGATGTGAGAACTCTTGCCATCAAAGAGTTTGTAACAGAACAGCGAAATGCCATGGGAGAAATGACATGGGTTGCGGCAAAAGCAAAACTGGTGTCTTGTCAACTTACATCTGATGTCTGTGTTCTCAACTGACTTCATGGCAGAGTTATTAAGAAGTTTTATGTCTTTTAGCAGACAAGTGTATTCACAAAATAAATGCAGATATGCCTGGGGTTGAAAAAGGCATACAATACATTGCAATATGACAGTATCTTCGAATTTTAAATGACAGAAAAGTCCATCTCTGACCACATGCTGTAATTCAGTTTGGCCACAGCATCAGGATTTATGTAACTTCTGTGAAAAGCATTCAGATTTTGGCTTTACCCCTAAGCAGAAGCAACCTTAGTAACTAACAGTCTGATTCCAGTGATAATTCAAAGGGAACAGTTACTCTGTGACTAGTGATCATGAAATTTAGAATTTGGCATCTAACCATGAGAAATGATGTCCAAATCTGGCCATAGGTACTTGTAGCCACTGATGAATTCAATGAGAATTGGAACTACCTTCCAGTTCAAACTTCGCTGCGACAGAGGTTCTCCAAACGATCGATACACTTAACTCATTTTTAGCATTATTAATGTAAATTAAAATAGTATTTCTTCAGTGCTTGCATGCAGAGTTCAGGAAAGGCTGAATTCATTACAGATTACTTGAACTGTATGATATTCACATTAATAATCAGTGTGCCTTTACGGTATGGCTGATAAAATGTATTAGCCAGGCCTTAACCATTAAAGAACAACAAGCATATTTTCTAACTGATTGTTATAAATTGCCAAAATGTAGACTTTTAACATGTAAAACTGATTTCATCATTCCTCTATCATTTTTCCACTTCACTAAAAGCATTAAACATTACTGACCAAGAGAGTCTTGCTGAATGGTCTTCTATTTTCTGACTTATAAAACAACATGCTGTATAATTCTACAATACATCATTCATGAGGGCCAAGGTTAAAAGAGAAGTTACAGTTTGGTAATTTCTCAATTCAGCCACAAAATGTAACTGTCTCTGGCCAGATCTATAACGACTGGACAAGGCAGCCATAAAAAATTTGGACAAGGTTTCATAAGCTGTTGTTGGTATCAGTGAAAACCCTTCTAGTTTCCTGCTAGAAACTGTTAATTCTGCTAAAGGACAAAAACCACCCTGAAATGTGGTTTGTTAATGCTAAAATGTGGTTACACACTTTAAAACTGACTTGAGATCATCTTCCAGGATGCACAGTGCCATTCTCTCCCCTCCTATTTCAGCTTCCCACAGATGCTCTTTAGAAAGGGCCTTTGATCTTCCAATATGGACTTGGAACTCAAGACAAAATATTCTTAAATTACGTGTTACAAATTATGTGATACAATCCCCTGCTTTGCTGGAAGAAGACAGATTTATGCTGAAAGTGACTCAAGGTATTGGGGAATAGGTAAGGGACAGGGAAAGCAGTGTAGGCTTTCCCTGTGAAGAGGTGGATTAATGTATGTATGACTCCAAAATACAAAGGAGAAGAATGAGACGTAACCCAGAAGGCACAGTCCAGAACAGGCTCCCTGCTCTGCGTCACTTCCAACATTATTTTAAAAATTATGCATTGATCTGTGTTTGCTTAATTTCAGATGCAGGAAAAGATGAGTTATCCATGAAAGATAAACACACAGGAAAAGAGTCCTTCTGTTTTAAATGCAAGGTCATGGGTCTTAGATGGTGAAAATTATCTTAAATCCGTCAACTCCAGTGGAACTTCACCAGTGTATTTTTTGTTGATATGGAACTCTCTTATCTGAGTGATGGTGTTAAATACGTTTTATAGCACGGAGCTGCAGGAAACTGATGTATTTTTTCAAGTACAGAATAAGACAAATACAGTATTTATAAATGCTACATACAAAATATTCTCAAATTCTTTTCTCAGGTTTCCCTGTATTCTTAATTCTGATGTTGGTTAAAGAGTTTTTAAAAAAACACACTTATGAAAAAAAATAATGTATTTTATGACAGTCTCTATTCTCTCTCTGCCTCTTACAAGTGAAGATAAAGTTCTGTTAGCTCATCATCACTCTTCTTCATTTTCAGGCTGCCATATTTTTCTTTTCTCCAGAACAGATACGGCTGATAACAATTCCTGTCTTCTGAAGAAAATCCACATTATATCCATAATCTCAAGTATCAATTCACTCCATCATTTAGTTGAAACCTTTTATAAGAATGCTACAAATGCATTTCTGATAATCCTTTACTCCTGTAAATTTCTTCCTATTCAATTCTGGAGAAGCCTTCCAGGAGAAGCAGATGAATCCCCAGATACTGTATTTCAAACTACATTCTGTACATCCAGTGTCAAGAAATGTGATGTAGGAAACAATTCCACATTAATTGAAAGGTGGGTGATATAGCCTGTCAGGTCTTTTCCATTTATAATTTCACATATTCTTTATCTCCTGTGGTGCAGCTGTGTTATAATAACTACAAAGTAACAGTCTTAGGTCTGCAAAGATCTTTTAAAGTATTTTTTCCTTTTGATAATAACTGAAATAATTTACTTGGACTTCTCCTTTCCTTTTGTTTAGTCTGATCGCTTAGTGAAGAATGTCTGAAATACTATGTTATCAGACAGAAAAAATGCCAAACTGATTTTAATTGTATATTATTGAACATAAAATACAGGCTTATTCATCTTCTAATATAGTCAGTTTAATGTTTATACAGTACAAGAATAAAAAGATATAAACTACTGATGCAAGTCTTTTAAATATGTTTGAAGGTTATGGTCATTTTTAGCTTATCAGTTTCTAACACAATACAGTTATTGGTCAGGAATTCACTAGACTTCTGCTTTATTTCAAAATAATGCCCTGAAGTGCTTATTATTAGAGGTTCTATGTTTTTATTACAATTATAAGATGAAAGATGGGTATTTTTCCACACAGAAAATATTTCCTCGTGCCTCTTAAGCAAAGAATTTGTAAAGATCACAGAAAACACTGTCACCTCTACAATTAATACACAGTCCAAACAAGACAATGTATCACAGATAACAGTGGTCTGAATTATACTTGCTACTGAAGATGTTTTTGTGGGACCTGGATGTTGGGCAAATATTTCTTGTAGCTATGGATCAAATGTTACAACACATATGCTTGGACTGGATTATCCCAAAGACATTCTGAAAAGAACAACTGCATTTCATAAACAATTATTATAAATACAGCCCTTCTCTCTATTAGTATTTAGCTGGCAAACTCCAGCAGAAGATTTGTGTTGCCCACATAAACTGCCTTCATAACTGCCAAGGTATACCTAACTATTAAGATTTGGGTTAGAATTAATGTAATTTACAACATACATCTAGAATAAATATATAACTTCTGCAGATTAGCTAATCAAATGTATGCCTTTCCTATATACAAGCAATAGGATAGCATTTAAAAGTAAAGTCGAAAGCTGTACATTTTATAAAGTTTTTCAAATATATTCTCCCTTGTTGGATGTTATTTCAACTTTGAAACCAAAGTACATTTACACAAATGTTTTCAAAGGTAGGAGTTCATGTGAAAGACAACAGTGAAGTATGAGTGACAGTACCCTTGTGTGACTATCCCATTTTACAGATGGCAGGTACCGAGAGAGGACATTAACTAGCTCGTGATTTCCTAGAAGCTATTTACATCAGTCAGCTTTAGGTACATCGCTGGTTTAGTCCACAGCTGGTTTCCCTTTACTCTCTTGGCTGCCAAAAGAGAAAGCAAATTTTATCTTGCAGGATGTTCTGACCAGAAGCTTCTCTGCATGACCTTTTGGGTTGGCATTTCTTTGGGAAGAGAAGCCAGCTAGCTTAGCTGACTGACACTGGGCAATATCACCATGCTTCTTATTATCAACATTGCTTCTCTTCAGCTCTTGCTCAATACAGGTTTATTTCATCCTGTTTCTGCTGTATTATAACACTGTCATAAGTCCAGCCGTTATTTTTTGTTGTGGGTGAGATGTTCCAAACCACTCAGTAGACTCCACCCCATGTTAAATGTAACTCTACATCTAGAAACTGGTGAAAATTAGTCTCATAATTCTATGAATTTTGAAAAGTCTATCACTTGTCGACACAGTAATTGTAGTAGCCAACAACTACTGTTTACATAGTATTTTGTTAATTCTTGGTCCAAACATAGAGAAGACATAAACAATTTCTGTTCCCTCACCACACCTGTTCATATACATAAGCAATAAAGTGCAAGAAAGAAGCTGTTAATGATGTGAAAGAAAAAAGTTGTGAAAGGTCTGACAAATAAAGCACTTCTGCTTAAGAACATTCATTTTCTGTTTCTAAGGCAGTACCACAAATACTGGGAAGGCCAAAGGGAGAACCAAATGTTCTGAGGAAAAAACAAAGTAACTGCGTAGGTGACAAGTTGGTCCCATGGTACCTCAATTCATCAGGATGAGGGTTTGATTCTTGTTTTGATGTAGCTGTGATCTCTTTAACAGAGTTCTGTATTTCAACACATTTGAAAATGGAAATGTGCATCATTCTCATACAGAACTCATTTAGTTGCTTTCTTTTTTCTACTTCCAGGATGTAAATTAACTGTTCATGCTCTTAATACTTTAAAAATATTTCAAGCTGTTAATGACATAAAATTTATACCTCCATGAACATATGAGCAAATGCTGAACTTGACTTACATAAGCAATCACCACTGACCATAAGAATTACTAGTCCTATGTTGAAAGTCTCATGTTCACATAAGTATTTGCCAGAGTGAGGCCCTCCTAATATATATAAATGAATGGTCAATTGTTTATATAAAAACCATGTTCCATTTTTTACTTATATGTAAAATTAAAAAGCAGATACTGCATATAACTTACTATCTTTTTGATCAGATGATTTATGCAATGCTGGTCAGTGAAAGTCAACCAGTCACCTTAATGTTAGAAAATGTATCTTTAGGACAAAGGACACAAGGAGAGACATAAAAGGTTGGAAGCATAAAAACATATCCTCATAAGTACTAAGCAATCCCTATTGTTGGATGACCAGATTGAATCATCATTTAAGTAGGTGTCATCAAAGTTCACAATCTTCAAGTCCTTCTTAAGATACGTTTCATTCAGTTTGTTTAGTGTTCGAGCAAAGGTATATTTAGATGCACAACTATATGCTTCCAGATTGTAGACTTTGTGGAAGTGCATATCAAAATATGGATTATCCTAAAAAAATGGAGAGAGAATGAAATTATTACATGCATTACAGATGTCAGAACAGCAACCTGTTGTTCCCTGCCCAGCTACCATCAGGGCTTTTTCTCAGTTTGATAGACTCTAAAGGACTATGCATATTTCTGCCGTTCATACTTACGGGTCTTTTAAAACTTTACAATATAGCAGTTTAGAATTAGCTGCAATTCTTTGCCATCAGAAGTTTTGCCTGCGTAAAACTTTCAAGAGTTTGGCCAAGTGATACGCTGCACTTTATTGGGATTATATAATCTTTTTGATTTGTTTTGAAATGAACCAATTTGTCCTGTTGCCTAAAACACACTATATGAAAAGCACTTGCCTTGGACTATAACCCTATATGCCTGTCAGAAGAAAGACTATTGATTGCCCTTCCTGCCTAAATAGTAATTCTCTGTGCTTTCTGGTTCTTTGGCACAATTAATTCTAGCAGCAGCTAAATTCTGTTCAATTCTATGGATATGAATAACTATTACGAATATTTATAGCAGTGTCAATCACCCTATAATTAGGAGTTTGAGGTTCATTTACGCTTTTCTTTAACCAAAAATGAGGCAGATTTTGATCATCCCAGTTATGGAAGGCTGAATCACCTCTGAAGGGTATTTTAGCACAAGACCAGAAAAAAGCTGAAATCAATTAATTCAGGCAAATGATAAGGAAATCCTCTGTCTGCCTTGGCTGAGGAAGGAACAGGAATATCTCCAGAAGCAAGATAACTTGGAGAAGGGATGTAAAGGACTGTTAGTTTTGGCTTTTTTGCCCCTCTGGCCTAAACTGCAAAGAGCCCACAGGGTGCCTCTAAAGCTTAGCTCACCTCCTCTGTCTCCCAGGTTCCTAGTTTTAGACTTGAGTGTGATGTGTGCAGGACAGAATGAGAACAACCACAGTTTGTAATTTTCCTTGGAACAAGGCTCTGAAACCTTTCTTGTGGGCTCTTGATTTCTCTTTCACTAAGATAATGTAATCTGAATTCTATTTTATGTTCATTTGAAAGCACTTTCAAAGGGAAAAAAGTCATTTTTTCCTGGACTACATTTATTATGCATGGATGACTACTGAAATGTCTTCTCATACACGCAGTAAGATATTCTCCTTGGCATATTCTTCTAGCTTTTGTAAAATAAGATTTAATTCTACTTTTCGCGTTCTGTATCGTACTACTCCAGCCTCATTTTACCATTTTGTATCCGAGAGATTAGGACTTTTTTAGCAGCAAGGTCAGCCAGATCTAGTCAAAGCTGTTTCATGTTTACACACACAAATACACAAATATTTAGTTGATTCAAGTAAAGTGAGATTAAGCTATGTGAAAGAGGCATAATTTTGTGAGCTGGTACACCAAACAATGCACTTGCATGTTATTTTACACATTGACTTTGTCCACAGATAACAGGTTCATACATTCAAAGTTTCCATAAAAATATTTAATGAAATTTTGTTTTCCAATACACACTAAAATCTAGAGGATTAACTCCAATTTACACTGGAAGCTGCAGGTAGAGAACTTTTATTCCCAAATTAGAAAACATCGAGCTTCTCCCTCAGATCTCATCCGGAGAGATTAAAAAGATTACAACAAACAAGAAAATCTCTCCTTCCTTCTCCCCTGCAACAGTGCAAATTCAATGTGGAGCCTCTCACATACAGTAAGACCAAAATTCCTTCAAGGTTTGATTTATTTTGGTTTTCATGTAACTTTCTTTCTCAGATAATGCATTTTAATTACATTTTAATACTTGTATCCCAAATTGCAATACAAGAAAAGTATACTCTAATATATGTATTTAATAATACATAACACTTACAGTATCTGCTTCTTTTCCATCAATCATCTCCAGATCTTTCAAAAGCCACTTTTCAATTATTTCATATTTCTCCTCTCGATCCACTCGGAAGTGTTTAACCATATATATTTCTACTTCTTTACTTTTAGTCACTGCAAGGAAAAAACAGTTTAGATATACAAGCCAGTACTTCCCAAAAGTTCCAATAATAAAAGACTTAATCAAACCACATTTTAGATAATAACTTAAATGATGATGGGCAGGGCTATATAGGGCTATACTGGACTTAATACTTTTATTTTGCCCAGGTAGTAGGAATAGCACCATCTTCTCTCTGAAACATGTCAGCTTTTAGTAGATTTAGGATTTACCTTACTCATCCTGTGAAAAGAGAATCTTGTCTGTGCAAAAGCCTTTCATCTGAATTCACTAGCAGTACAATGAAAGCCTAATTCTGGCACTGGATCTGTATGGATAATCCATAACTTATTTCGAGGGGGAATCTTTTGGGGTGCTGGAGTCAGAAAATTGCAAAACCCCTACCAAGGCACTGTATTTACATGACTTGTGCTGTGCTTTCCATTCTGTGGAGGAAGTTCTCTTAACAAAGCCATTAACTTTTTAAAAGCAAAAGTCTTATTTCCCTATAAAATACATAAGTAGGCCACTTAACAAAAATAACATAGAAAATACTTCTTAAAGCTTCAAGTTGCCCAGTGCTATCTTTGTAGAAATTACGATTTTCCAACTTAGGCAGGCAACGAGAGTAAAACAAGCACAAAGACACTCATTGCAATAACTACCATTATTAATTGATTACATTGAGTGCTGCATAGGAGATTGCATTTCTGCAACACACAATGAGTGTGAAAAGCACCAGAATCTGAACAATCTCCTGCAAATCCAGCATGACAGCTGCAGGGCAGGCCACTTCCCCAAGCCACCCTGTAGCCTAAGGTGAGGGCGAGATGTCACCTATGTCTGGCAGGAGCACTTTGACATCATAGCACCAAGCTACAGATGCAGGAGCAAAATTATTTTATTTCTAAATACTGCTTGAATTTTTTAAAACCCGTTATGAAACCTGACTAATTTTATCTTATTCCTGTTAAAACATCTCTTACTTCTCACCCATTTATAAGAAAACAGTTACTAAAACAAAGACAAACAAAAGAGGTATGTTTGGGATGTGCTGTCTTTCCATTGCTAAGAAAAACAGTGGAAAACATAGAAATTTATTATAATTTCTCCCAGGCATATCAATACTGGCTTGTGAAAATCCCTGAATGTGGTTGCATTTCAGCTTTACATTCTTCCAGTGTTTATAAAGCATTTAGTGAAAGTATACTATTGCCTTCACGCATGAACTGGGACTTGCTATTGTGAAAAGGATGTTGAGTATATGGCACAAAAATAAGATTGTTCAGTTATACACCCCAAGATTTTGTTGTAATACAGATTTCAAAAGGCATAGGCTTCTGAAGTTTTTCCTATGGTTTGACTGATATTATTTTTCTTTGTTACAGTAATTTGAAATCAACAAGAATATCCTGAGGTTGCATTGCAGGGATAAGATTTTAGATAATGTGTTTTGCTCCTATGGATCACAGCAGATTACAGTAGCTGTGGGCAGGCGGATGCAACCCATCTTTCAGAATCAGATTTCCACTCACCACTTACTTGACTATGCCTGAATATATTAAGAGTTTAATATTGGATACTGGAGAGATCCCACTCTTAATGCTCTGCATACATTTTCCTCTATGTCTTCAGAGATTTTCAATCTGCTAATCTGATTAGAGGCTTCCTTTAAGGGTTTGTGCCCCTCTACCTTAAAAAGAAATTTTTAGTAAAGACTTCAAAGCTGCATAATGTTACTTCTCCCCTTTGGATGTTTCATAACAATGAACTGTTTAGATCTACCACATACAACTAAACATACTTCTACCAGATAGCTTTATAAACTATGAAGCAGGTTGGTATTTCTGTACATTTAGAAGCTCTATGATGTCCAGGAATCCATTTCTTAAAACTATTTTTACAGTTTGAAAATACAAAACCTGTTCTACTAAAACTATGTGAGCACACATAGCTTGCTCAGTATTTCCAGTAATCTGTAAAACAACTCAAATAAAGACCTCAGACATTTACAAAGATAATGATCACAGAATACAGTTGACATCATCCCATACTGGATGTTAACCCAACCTGTGTCTCAAGTACATAGATTATTTCTACCCATTATATGTATTTTGAATCTGAAGAGCAAACAGACTGGAAGAAGCATTCACTGCAACCTAAGTACTTCAGGATGAGAGTATCTTTTTGAGTATCTTTCAGTGTTGTGAAATAAAAACAAACAAACAAACAGGCTTTTCTGAAACCTTGTTCTAAAAAGGTCATGAAATAAAATTTAGTAAAGAGATTGATAAGTTTATCACTCATAACAATCTGTTTTACTTACAGTTCTTGCTAATTACCAACTCAAATATGTATTTATTTAAACCACAAACCTAGTTTATTGTTACCAAAGTAACTGGAACAATATATCAGAGATTAGACCAAGAAAAAGGATACTATAAAAGCTCTAAAGATTACAAATGTTTCCTGCAATGCTATGCATTGTTATGCTTCCCTGTGGAAAGCCCAGCCAGAACTGTAGGACGGTGCTGCTCTCTCGCAGGCGCT